TTACTGGATATTTGTCTCCCCTTCACAAAAGCACATTGAGCCTCATTTATGATAAACCCCATCACAGTTTGAATTCTGTTTGCTAAAATTTTTGATATGAATTTATAAAGGCAATTGCAACAGGAGATTGGTCTGAAATCAGCTGGGGTTTTAGGACATTGTACCTTAGGAATCAATGCAATATAGGTTGAGTTTATAGCACCCAGCAGCTTCCCTGATCTAAAAAATTCCCTGATAGCAGCTATAACCTCATCTCCAATAACAGACCATGCTGCCTTACAGAAAGAGGCACTATATCCATCTGGCCCTGGGGCTTTATTATCTGGCATAGAAAAAACAACAGCTTTTATCTCTTCATCAGTGACTGGCATAGAAAGTTCTCTCCTTTGATTTTCCATCAGGCATGGCCCATTGCTAATAATTTTTGAATCTGCAGGTGAAGTGTGCTTTGCAGAGCCCATTAGACTTTTGTAGTAGGAGATAAACTCATTTACAATTTCCTCTCCATCAGAAATTTTCCCCCCAACACTATTATAAAGTGTTAAGACCCTGTTTTGGTGCCTGTTTGATTTAATAATTGAGTGGAAGAAACTTGTATTCTTGTCACCTTGGATACTCCATGTAATCCTAGCCTTTTGTTGATAAAAGGATAGCTCACAAGCTAAGAGCTTACTGTATTTGGAAATGCAGCAGTTTTCTTGACTGATGAGTATAGAGTTAAGGGGGTCAGATTGCAACTTCATTTGGACTTCATCTACTTCAGCTTTTGCCTTTGAATTCATCTTTGTTATTTGCAAGTTTTGAGATTTCAGAATTTCATGGTGATTTTTTATTATTTGAACTTTAAGGGTGTTTTTACAATTTTTGAAACGTCGAGGGTGTTAATTGCAGATTTTAAATTATTCGGATGTTGTTGTTAATTTCTAAATTTTATGTTTGTTATCTTAAGTTCTCAAACGGGTGGATATTTTGTATAATTCTAAACTTTTGAGGATATTTTGTGTAATTTTTTTTAACGCTTTGGGTTATTTTATAATATTTCATATACTATAGCGTGTTAGTTTTTTACCTTAACAAACTAATACTGTGGAGTTGTCACATGGGATTATGATAGGATATAATTATAATTAGAACAAATTAAAATTTAAATTAAATATTCAAAATAATGAAGGGTAATATTGACGTATTTTATTAATCTTATTTTTTTAAATTGTTGAGGTGTAATTAGTTCATATGAGATTGGGATAGGATATAGTCATGATTAGGATAGATTAAGATTTAAATTAAATATTCAAACTAGTGAATGATAATATTAACCATGGAAAGATTTTCCCAAACCCCTGCTTTTACAGGGAGTATGAAATATATGATAAAATTGGGAAATTTTTTTTTATTATCTCAGTTCTACTTTTTATCCAGTTTTAGTTGATTAACATTGTATAATTTTATCTTACAGTTCTACTTTTTATCCAGTTTTAGTTGATTAACATTGTATAATTTTATCTTAGTTTTAGTTATAATTGACTAACATTATAAAACTTTAACATTGTATAATTTTATCTTAGTTTTAGTTATAATTGACTAACATTATAAAACTTTGTCCTATAAATTATCTCGGTTCTAGTTTTGAGTTCTATTTGACTAACCCTCATTGAATATCCTTATAAAATATGCAATGTATCAGGCAATGAAAAGGGATCGAATAAATAGATAATATAATATAATGCTGATCTCGCTGAAATAAAAAAGGGTAAATATCAGAGAACCTCTTTAACTTTGGATGATTTAATGGAAAACCCTCCTTAAATTAAAAAATATCTGAAAAAACCCCCCCTTAAATATAGGAATTATCACAAACCTCCTTTTAACTTCTAGATTTTATTAGAAAACGTCCTTTAACTGATACTTTATCAGAAGCCCCCTAGTTTTAGGGGAGTTTTCTGATAAAATCTCAAAGTTAAAGGGAGTTTTGTGATAACCCATATACTTAAGGGGGAATTCTGATGTTTTCAAAATTAAAGGGGTTTTTTCGATAATCGTCTAAAGTTAAGGTGGGGGTTTTATTGTATTTAGGCAATAAAAAACCTTAAATTTTCTCCCATAATCCCGAAATGAGCTGAAAGTCTAAGCAGCCACTAAACTTTAACCTACTTTTCTATAAAATCCTCTACCTCGTATTTTAATCTATTAAGCCCTTAAACTTTGTCCAGCTTTCCTATGAAGCCCTCAAACTATTGTTTCAGGCTATTAAGCCCCTAAAGTTTGTCTTTCCATTCTTTTTAGCTCCTAAAGTTTGTTCTTTCATTCTATTTAGCCCTTATGGTTCAATATGACTATAAAAGGGTATAAAGGTCTTATTGAATTGTTTTCTAGGGAAGTAATATTGTCATGGCTACCATTTGTAGAAAGATATAATTTCATATAACTAAACAGATTCTTAGATTAGTTAAAGGGGGAAAAAACTAATAATTCCTCATCAATGTTTGACTTTAAAAAATACCCCAATAAAATTCAGTTGTTCATGCTGCTTCTATTTCAATCAAAAATTTTATTATATTGATTATATTTACATCACAATGTTTTGAATTTTTATTATGTACACACCAAAACTTGCATACTGGGTAGTAACTTTGAACAAATAGTAGATAGATCAAAGCTCAAATTGTAAGGCTTTCTCATGTCATTCTTTTTACGACATTCCAGTTATATCCTAGCTAAAACATGCATTTTGGCGGTGTTTGAGGTTTAAACCCACCATCAGGGCTGGATATCATGAAATTTAAAACTTTAGAGGCTAAATAGAATGAAAATAAAACTCTAAGGGCTAAATAGATTGAAATAAGAGATCGAGGGCTTCATAGAAAGTTGAGTAAAGCTTAAAGGTTTAATAGATTAAAATAAAAGTTTAAGAGATTCATAGAAAAGTTGTGCAAAGTTTAGGTTCCTATTAGACTTTGAGCTCCCCAAATGGGCTAGGATGATTTCGTCACCCCAAAAGCAATCGCGAACAGGATCAAAGCCAAATGCCTTCAGAATCTCCGATGGTACGGTCAAATGTGCCAGAAGCAATGCAGAGACGAGAACGTAGTTTGGTCTATCTCTATATTTATACTCGAGAATAGATGATGTTAGGAATATGGAGGTATAAACTACACAAAATTCCACTTAATGACTATTAATAATTTTTTTACATTGGACAGAAGAAAATAGGCATCTATATTTCCTGCAATCCACATTTTGATAAGTTTTAGTTATATACATTAATTACAGTGGCATGAGGGTTATAAGAACTATGCAAAAATATGACTGCATATATCACTTGATTGATATTACCTAACCTACCGATAACAAAATAAACAAAACTTGATTGATGTTAGATAATCTTTCAATAACAAAACATACAAAAATGGTTTTATAATTAAAAAAAATCTTGTCCTGCTGATCAATATAATTTTTGTTATCTTAACATGAAACAAACTTTTATTTCAAGGCTTAATCACATGATATGAAGCTAAATTTTTTTTATCTTAACATGTACACTGCCCATGAGAATCATACCTTCCAACCATCAAACTTCATATTAGCCACTTATAACATTATTTGAATAGATTTTGGGACTCCCAAATGATAAAAATAATCTTATTTATAGGTACGATAGTGTTAGGTCTCATGTTTATGATCCTACCATCTAATCTGGTTTTGATGATTAACAAATAAATTTCTAACATCGTTTGTCGAGTGTTTGCATTTGATTGTTAGGTATCTTACACAAAGATCCTCCGTTGGAGGTAGGTTAGAATTGAGCTTAACGATGACATTCAAAGGAGGTTGGAAGGAAATCGGAATGAAGCCGTCGCAATTCAGATCAAGATTCATCATCACTTCATTCGCAACCAAGACGAGCTTAATTGAAGATCTATTGCTTGGGTATAGTGTTTTAGATTTATATTTTGTGTGTTTATACTTAGAGCTTAAAATTCATACACACACACATTTTGTTTTGATTTATCTCCGTTTTGGATTATAGACTTAATGACACACAAATTTTGTATTCGCACTTACATTGAGAGATACACGTTATAATACACAAAGACATTTGGAGGAGTGATTGGAGAGAGACAGGGTTAATTCTAAGAGGAGTGGGTTGGTAGTAAAGCCTAGGGAGAGGTGGTAAATCCAAATACTTGAGGAAGATAACACATGCGAGTCCAACACATAGAGGAGTGTCTTGTGGGATTGACAACGTGTGATTGTAAAAGTTTTCGGTGAACTTTTGGAAACCGAATTGTGTAGTATCTTTGAGAGATAGTGGAGAAGCTCATCGAGGTGAGGAGCGGAGACGTAGGTCGAGGGTTGACCGAACTCCATGATCATATCATTGTGTTTGCGATTGTTTTGGCGCACTATTATTTTCTCATTGTTTATATCACCTATTATCTTTTATTATCCTTGCATATTTATCTTGTATATCATGATGTAGGGATATTAGTTAATAAGTTTATAATTTGACATTGAAATCGGATTAGATTAGTAATTACCATATTCACCCCCCTTCTAGGGTACTTTCAGATAGGTGAACTTAAGGGTGTTAATTGCTAGAAAAATAGTTGGTGGGTGATAAATGCTATTAAAAGCATGGATGAGGGGGGTTATAAGCAATTTACCTTAATATTTATGAGAAGATAGCAGTCCTTTTTTAAAAGCATGGATGAGGGGGGTTATAAGCAATTTACCTTAATATTTATGAGAAGATAGCAGTCCTTTTTTTCCCAAAAAATTTAAAAAAAATATCATTTATTATCTGCAAAATCATGAAAGCTCATTATTGGACTGAAACTGCAAATATACACTACAATCGGACTTCCTCAAAAATTTCAGAAACATTACACTTTTTTGCTAGAGTACAAACAGAAGGTAATTAATTTAACTCCCAAACAAAACTGAAGTCCAACTTTGTGCATCAGAGTTATAATCACCAACGCACAATAACATTCTGAAGCTCACCAACAAAAACCCTAACCGAGGAAAAAAATCCCAATTAGTTTCTATTTCATCTTACTGTTAGCCAGAATTCTGATGGAGGGCCAATGTTCTGATTCCAGCATGCAATCCAAGGTGTTGATCACAAAGCTCCAATTTTTCTTCATTTTTTGCCTATTTTTTTAACTGAGTAGGGAAGTTTTACTATGTATGGTAAGATTGCCATTTATTGGTTGCCATTCTATTTGCATGGTAACATTGTATGTTTATTTTGGGTAAAATGCTTGATTTTGTTGCTATTTTTATTGATCTAGTTCTGCATGCAAATGGCTATCCAATCAACTTAATTTTGAGAGCTTTGTCACCCTGATTCGATATTTCCAATTAATCATGCTAGGGTTTTATCAGCTGCATTAGGTTGATACCTTGGTAGAAGAATTCTCGAGGGAGTATACTTAGGCAATATTGAAGCTTGCTCTTAAGGAATCCATCGCCAATCCTAAGATTCCTCTTAAAAGAAAGAATGATTTTCTGTTAAAGTAATATATAGTTTGGTAAGTTTTCAGTTATTTATAATACCAATTGCAAAGTTATTCATTTCATGAGGTTCGTGCGAAGCATTCTCAATGGTATCTTCGAGATGATCGCCAAACTCCTTCTTAGCTGACTCTACCCCTGAAAATCCACTTCTTGATTGGCAATGTCTAATCAGCCTCCATTGATAACCATTGAATAGTTAACGCTGTTTCTTGTATCAGAAAATCATTACGTCCCTCTCAAACTCCAATCAAAACTTCATTCATCAAGGTAGACTTTGAAAATCTTTGTTTTTCCTTATCAGATATGGCAAGAGAGAAACTTGAGGATATTTCAAAGCAAAATGAGACAACCTGATCAACTGCTTCGTGTGATAAAAATTTCCATTTTCTCTAAAATCTTGAATGATGATTTTCCAGAATATGTAAAGGAAAGTATTGTGAGATTGTAATTTTGTGATCTTTTGGCTAGTTGAGGCCCAGACTATCTGTGGAATTGTTGAGTGCTATGTAATGTTCACACTTGGTAATGAATAAAATCTTTTTCATTGACCAATGAAGGAAATAACGAAATTCACTTTGGACTTTGTATTCTGAAGGACCGAGGAGGATTAGTGAGGTTAATCTCTGGCATCTCAGGATATCTTTGCTAGCCTCAATTTACTTTGGATTATTTTCTAATTCGCCACTACTAGAAAATATCTTATATTCATGCCTTCCCAACAATGTTCATTTGTTCTTCTTCTTTGTGTGTGCTCGTGCTTGTGGATACATTTCCCTTTAGGCATAACACAACAAAAACAACTCTGACTTTCTTCAACATCATTAGATTCATGATAGGAGTTTGTGTTTAGCTCATATATTAATGTTTGTCGAAAGTGATTCCATTGTTTCACACTTTAACCTTCACTTTCAGTTGCCAGACGCCTCCTGTCATTGCAATGATATTTCTAAGGGGTGGCTTTTCAACTTTAGTTCTAAAACATGGCTGATCATGTTCTACATATTTTGGAACAAATATACGAAGAAAATACATGTGACAACTAATATCTGGATATCTGGAAGTTTTGGACTGGTTGAGAACCTACTGATAAATAAATACAGCTTTTTTTTCTCATTTTATTTTAATCATCCATCAATTGTTTTGCATGGAAACTTTTTGGGAATTTTAGCATTTCCTATTATTATATCAGATATGAGAATCCCCATTACGTTAAGAGCTCTGCCACTTTAGCTTAGCTTAGATGTCCTTCTTATGTGCGTTTATTTATTTTTGCCTTTATAACTAGGCATTAATTTTTTTTTCTCGTTGCATTAAATTGTTCACTTATCATTTTATTCTCTTTCTTGATGCTACAGTTTCAGATCAACTTAAAAATTGAAAAAAATTGTGACGATGGAGGTAAACAGGTCAGACACAATTCAAGCCATCAAAACCAAGGTTTATGCAAGAGAGGGAATGCCCGCGAACAATCAAGAGCTATTTTTTGAAGGCAATCACCTAAGTGACGCATCGAAGACACTAGCTGACTACAACATCTCCCAAAATTCCATGATCAACCTTTTGTTTGGAGGCACTATGCAAATATTTGTAAAGATCCTTACAACTGGGAAAACTTTGAAGCTCGTAGTGAAGGACAAAGATACCATCCAAAATGTGAAGGCTAGGATTGAAGCTATGGAGGGAATTTCTCAGAATCGTCAAGGACTCGTCTACATGGGAAAATCTGTTGAAGATAACCATTCATTACTTGCTTGCAATATACAAAATGGTTCAACCCTTCAGATGATTCTATGTCCAGTGGATAAGTTTGATATCTTGATCTGCACAATGAATGGGCATCTTATAAAACTTGAAGCAAGATCTTGGTATACTATCCGAGATATCAAGCTGATAGTTGAGGGTATGAAGGATATTGATGCAACCAAACAAAGGCTTTTTTGTGATGTCACAGAGCTGGAGGGCAGCGTCACGCTTTCCGAATGCAGAATATTCGATCGAACAATTCTTCACTTGCATGTTGAGATTTAGATGTTCATAGATATTTCGAACGGGAAGATTATCACACTAACGATTGATAATTATGATTTCATTGATCCGGACATTTTGTCTGGTCTTTAGTAGGTATTATCATATTTGGGAGTTTAAAGTTGTTAAAACATTGGACTTTTGTCTTTCTTTTTATGTGGTAAAAACTTTTGAGCATGAGGGAGTTTATGGAATCAACGCTAATGGTTTTGTGGGGTCTTTCGCTGATTTCAGTGGTTTATCTCTATGAAATTTTGATTGGGAATGTCGTCTTGCTTATATGTTCACTGTGTTGAATTGTGTGTCTGTATCTGATGCCTTTCTCTGCCAAGTTTGCCCATGAAATACGAAGGATTGTATCTCGATTTTTTTCTAGCTCAAAAGATTGCCTTCTGTTTCGTGTTAAGTTTTAAGCAGAGATGGATTGTCATTTCGCAACTGGTTTAACATTGAAGGTGGTATTTTGATTTCCAAAGAACTCTTTGGGTCGTTTATTTACCGTGTTTCTCTGCCCGGATTCGCGCAATGAAATACGAAGCAGTTTATTAACTATGTTAGATGGATAGTAAGTTTGTAACTGCTTTACATTAACCAGCGGCTATAACATCAATGACTTAAACTTAAACCCTTATTTCCATTTGCCTAATAAAACGTATATGTAAAGACAATTTGATATTGAACTTCTGAGTCTTCTTGAGAATCCATCTGTAGGTTATATGCAGTTCCAGCCAGAATAGATTTTTGAATTTGTTGATAAGAAGCTAAATAGGCTTTAGTTCATTTTTATTTAGAATAAAGAGTTGTAAGTTGTTACTTTAATATTAAGACAGCGTCGCCTATAGAATCCCTCTTCAATCTATGCTTCAATGCCGTAATCATTATCCACCATTCAACTATTTTATATCAACTTTAAAACATCACATTAAATCGGTTGTTTAAACTACTCATAAGAATTTTTAACGTCAAATGAGACCCATGTAATTTCCAACTAATGTTTTAGAGGCTTAATTTGAAGTCATTATGGTTGCTATGAGCGTAACTTAAGTACTTAAGTTGTTGCATGTTAAGAGAAAAATTATATTAACAGGACAATATTTTTTAAATAAAGAAGTATTAATAAAATACTTTGGCCTTTTTTTTTCAGTATGGTTACCCTATAACCATCCATCAAAGATACGATTATTCATTCCGATTGACATTCTTCTTTCTTTCGACGCACTAACCCATACTACCACTCTGATTACTTTCTTACACAATCTGAAAATATTAAAAAATTACTGATAGTAAAACTCCTAAGGAACGGAGATTTCATGATAATCAAATGCTCTATTTTTTTTCTTCATGTCAATGTATTATAACTAATCAAGTTAAGCGAATTTTTCTGTGTAGTTCATTCCCTACATATTCCCTAGAATTCATCTATTCCGAATGATACATATCGAAACACGAATCTCTCAAGCTCATAGAACATTCAAATTGGCAAAAGATACATCAACTCTCTAATATGCTAAAAACTTATGTTTATCATATCACAGAAGACCTCAATTTGCAGTTCAGTCATTTGTTGTACTAACAAGATTTAAGTAGTAAATTATTTAAAAGGAAGAAAAAAACGAATAACTGAAGGCGAAATGAATTCACAATGAAGAAATAAACATTTCTATATTAATCCAATGACAAGAAGAACTGACAATTGAATGCTAAAGCTTTCACAGCATGCAGGCACAAGACGCTCATATTAGTACAGCTCTCCAAGTTAAAGAATTCTCGGGATACTTGCTGACTCCTCATAGTCAAGACAACAGCATAAGCTCATGATCGTCATTTAATCAAGTATCTCCTGATTGAAGATTGAACCTATAATGATTCAAAGCTAGACCTCTTCGCTTGACCTTTTTTCAACATAGAACTAGTCTCTGGTGATACTCAGTAATCACAAATTTTACCATGTTATAAGTCGACAACTAATGTATGACCACGATGTCCAACATGAAATCAATTGGATAAACAAGAGGATAGGGTATCTTTCTAGAGTCAGCCAGAAGATCACATTATCTTCTAAGCTATTATGATTTAGCTATTACATAAATTTCAAATTAATTATCGTCATTGCTCTTTTTGACTCTGAGCAAACTTTTCATATTTTCTAGATTATATTCTTTCAGTACTGTGATACTAAATGTTGGAAATATCTTAAGCCATTAAATAAAGCATACATACATACATAATAATACATAATACATACACACATACATACACAACCACACGAACAACACAAAATACACACAATACAGTTACTAGCATACATACATACATCAAATTTTCCATATTCAGGAATTATCTTCTTTTTCAGTACTGGATACCTAAATTTGAAATATCTAAAGCCATCTAAAATAAAACCACAGACACGCACACACACACGCGCGTGCTCGCGGCGCGCGATGTGCGCACACACACACACACCTACTCCTACCTACCTACCTGAGTATTAGAAATATCAAAGTCTATGAGATTTTTTCTTCCTGTTTTAATTTAAAAGTATAAATTTCTATTTCAAGAGCTATGACATAACGTATATTTGAGATCTCTAAAATAATTTTTAACTTGGTTGGGAAGGCACAAAGACTATTGAATCAGTTACTATAAACAGCATAATAAACATGCAATATTTGATAAACACGTATATCCAATATAAGAAGGAAACTAACAGTGTTATCACATCTATTCTGATCTTCAGCCTCCACAAGTTACTTAAAAAATAGGTTAAAATTTATAACCGAAATGATACTTTATGGTTGCACAATGAGCCCATGTATGAACTGGGTGCTGAAAATTTGTTGGCGACAATAGCATCTCTCCATGATGGTAATTTGTAAAGGACGCCATGATCTTCAGATGCAAGCGATAGGCAGCATAGTCAGCAATGTGAGTCAGTTATGATGTACAGGATCTGATAAATTCTGTGAATATGAAAGTGAAGTAGAATAAGATATATCCTAATATGTATTTTTCTTCAAATTCAAAGTCTGACACTCACATTTGCATGCATTGTCAGTGAGTACACATGCATGCATACACACCATACATCAACTATCTAATGCATGCATGAACACACTCGCATAGGAATGAAATGCATGTGCGCGACACAAAACACATTCACAGGTCATGGCAATGTCAATTTTATATATATATCATCTATCTAGTATATAGATAATTCAGATTTTTGATGTATTCTTATCTCAAATTTGAGAAAATTTTCAAGGTTATCAATTAGTTTTTTTTACTTTGATTCTAGAATTTGATATCTCTTAAACGAACATGATCCAGCAGCCATTTTTAGAAACAGGTTCGAAGTCCTGAAAACAAGGGAGAAGGCAAAGAAGTTGATCAAGAGGTGGATCTTTTTTCTTTTTGAAGTGCCAAAAAATTGGAAAAGGCAAAGATCTACTCTTCATATAGTATGCTTTTTCACATCCCGATACCATTACATTAACCACATAATTTGTCTTATCCATTTCCAAGGTAAATTATATACACCATTGTAATCAGGTTATACTGCACAATAAACGTTGTAATTTTCTCGCTTACGAATCCGCAGAGCCTGGAAACAATAAAATTACACATCAATCAATCATATATCTTACTACAG